TATGCGGGTTGGGTCTTTTTTCGGTGCCGAACAAGGAGGACGAAGCAGCCGAAACTTGACTGCGTCTGCAAGCTCCATCCTATGCGAGTGCAAGCTTCGTGTTTGTTTCAAATGTATTCAAAGAGTATAGCCGAACGGCTATACCCCTAAAATATTCGAATATATTAATATTAAAGAGTATAGCCGTTCGGCTATACGTTTATCCAAAAATGGAGCACCTCGGCGGGTCCTTATTATTTTATTTTTTAAATAGTATAGCCGGTCGGCTATACTCTTGAAATTAACCCTTCAGGTCAATTTGTCAATATTGATGTCTCCAATATGTCAATATGAAATAGAAATAACAATCGCTACTCGACAAAGATCTATTTCCAGATCAGAAAGAAAAATTTCCTTGAGGCCATTGACAAGTGAGAACATCAATTTTTTTTTTAAGCTTCTTACAATCCAAACATAAACAATCACTAAAAAAATTCCATCTTCTGCATGATTTTGGTTCATTCTTGATAGCAATTGTCGCGCCAAGGCACTAGATATCCTCATGAAGGATCTCAAAATTTTTGCCAAAGGTAATGAGGAGCTGTTCAAAGAAATGCAGCACATGTGTATGGGTTCAATCCAACAGGGATCATAAGGCACTCTCTATGTGTGGAGATGTAATGTGTATGAGGAAGAATAAGATGAAAGAACTCGGGCAAATAATTGAGGCAAATCCAGTTTTCCATGGCAAACTGAAGTATCCTAGCATCAAAAGTCATAGATTACATAAACTCATTAACCAAAGGTAAATGTTTCCTCTCTAGTTTTGGTCTTCCTTTCTATTTTGTGATTGCATATGTTCATACATATGCCTGTGCGCGTTTGTGTGAGAGAGAGAGTATTTGTTATTCTCATATTTAGTAAAAGATTAAGTCACTTTCAGTTTTTTGTAGTTGGGAGAGACACTGACTTGTGTGTTTAACTTGACAGCTTGAATCGGCATCATTAACAGTGTAAAGACCCTCGTCCAAATCCAGTCATTAAGACTCTTTTCGTTGATCGGGTTTGTGAATGGCAGGGCTGTTTGTCTTTGTCTCTATCGACTGGGAACAGTTTGCAAGTAAGATATGTTCTGGTAGCTTTCAATTGGCCACTGGATCAGAGAGCCGAAGACATCGTAGCAGCAGTGAACCCAGACTTCTTTCAAAACCTCCCTTGGGAGTTGAGTTGAGACTTACACACAAAAACCCAGAGAAAAAGGTGACTGGCATCACTCTCATCTCACTCTCATTTTACATCATATTGGAATTTAAAATCTCCAGTTCGACAGAGATGGACATGGAACTTTTTCGTACAAGAAAAAGAGAACCAATGAATTCTCTATCTGTATTCACTCATTCTGAGGTAAAAAAAATTGATCCCTTTTTGTATTGGTCCTCATTAACCAATGTTTCCTGCTCATCAGCCATACAAGCTGATTTTCTTTTTCTATTTTTAAACAAAATTTTGTTTAGTCTTTCTGGTTTCTTCTAAGATTGCTCTAACCTTCTGTATCTAGCCTTCACAAGCAACATCAAATCCACTTCCAACTTCTTCTGCTGAGCCAAAAATTTATATGTAACACAAGATGCGCTCTCCGGGAGCAGTATCTCTCAATGCTGCAAAGAGCCCAGGTATTTTATTTTAGTTCTTCAAGTGATGTTGTTGGGTACTGGTACCCTCTAATTTATGTTTGAAATGTGTCGTCATTTTACACATTGCATAGTTGTTATTATTAACTTTTGATTAAATTTTTGTGGCTACAGCTATAGAGGTTATTGACTATCCATGCTTGTCCAAAAAAATGTTCTTTCTGATTTTGGATGAGGTAATCTGAATCAATTTTATGTACAGAATTAAATAACTATAGAAATTGTGTATCTTGACCTTGGTTTTCTTTCATTTGTTTAGGTAAAATCAACTGTCACTGATCTTGGCCAAAGTCACCTGTCCGCGGTTGCCATACCCAATGTTTTGCCCACTACTTTTGCCCTGACACTAAATGAGGGCTCATCTCCAATGAGCATGGATTTTCATCCCACTTGGCAGACTCTTCTTCTATGTTAAGTAATGAGAAACTATGTTCTTTTTTTCCTTCTTTTTTTCTCCCATCATTTATAAATTTCCTGTCCTTTTACGATGATTGTGTGCGGTAACTACTTTTGATAGTTCACTCATGAATCCTGCTAATGTGATTCTTCAGTTGGAACCTGGGGGTGTTGGAAACATATATAGGACTATGGGAAGTTAGTTCAGGGGAAAAGTTGCTTTCAAAAAATTTTAGAGTCTGGAATCTTGACGCAGGCCCAATGGCCTTAAAGGTGCATCTGCTTCTGGATTACGTACTACTCTCTCAACCTTAAAAAAGTTGCTTTCAAAAATTTTTAGAGTCTGCAATCTTGACGCAGGCCCAATGGCCTTAAAGGAGCATCTGCTTCTGGATTACGTACTACTCTCTCAACCTTACTGATATGATCCGAAATTTGAACCAATGTCAATTATTTCAGGAAGCTCTGGTCAAAGATTCATATGTATCTGTTAATCGTATCCGACAGAGTCCTGATGGTTCTATATTTGATGAGAATGTTCTCATACTTAAAATGGTATGGAGTTGCTGATTTTCAGTTCTTGTAGTTCATATTCACTGCC